ACATATTTTGTACTACGAAAAGCTAAATAATTAGTTTCCGTCTTTAAAGAATAAATAGAGGGATAAAGATGTTTATAAGGAGAAGTGTTGTATTCGATGGCTACGAATTAACTAAATACACTCGACTATAAAAGTAATTTTTATTCATGCTATTAGGATATAGTGAAGGTAGGTAAATAAAAGAGTGGCTTGATTAATGACTAAGTGTGCAAGCGTGTTCTCTGGAAGTAGCGGATGGAAGTAAAGGTGTTTTAATCTATGACGCTCAATATGATCATGATGATTAAATTTGCTAAAGAAACTCATTTCGTTACATACAACTTATATAGAATCATAATTTCTAAGCATTTGGACAGGGTACGTGTGCCTATAGAGATAAACAAGTTAGTATTAGGCAACAAGTGAATTAAGTGAATGAAGGATGATTCACTTACAGAGCAGGTATTCAAAAGAAGAGGAAATCTCTTAGCTCTTAGATAATACGGGAATATGTTGAGGAGGGAAATATGTGCTTGTCAACGAGATACATCAATTTGATATTACGTTGAATCAATTTAATGACAGATTTAAGAGGATTTTGTGAGGCATGCTTGATATTTGCTGTCGGGCATGAAAAAAATCATTCTCATTCAAGCTAGATTGTAGCTGCAACTTAGCCTTGATTTCATCATCCTTCTTCGTTGAATTAGAACCGATGGTCTACAGATCTAAAGAAAATATTTTATTCCTTAGACCAAAAGATGCTAAACTAGAAACTAGATCCATGTTTAATGATAATCTAAAACGATCGATAATAACTAGCGACAAAGCTATACACATAAAATCAGTGTGCAAGATGCATATCAAATTATTTCACTTCAAAGGATAGATAGAGTTCAAATCAGCCAGAGGTCAATGAAAGCATGAAAATAACATTAATGCAACAATAGGGTGTTTTGTTTAAGTTAGTATTATGTGATAATGGGCTGGATCCTCCGGAGTTTATCGGTTAGAACAAATTAGGAAATGAGTACATTATATTGATATTATGGTCAGATCTTTCCTATTTTCTTGCGATTACTTTGCCAGAAGCTTGAAAGCAAATAATCTAAAAAAACATCCTAAGCCTATATCAACGAAGTTCGTTCAGTCGTATAAAAATAGAGGGATTGTCCATGTGAACATTCCAACTTTTAAAATAAATTAACCCACAGAATGCACTTATATGATTTGTTTGTACCAAAAATCGACAATTCCCCTAAAGGCTCTGATAAAATGTCAACAACTAATCAAAATAAAGGCGCGCCTATAGCAGCAGTTTGAAAGATACAAGCTAACATGCAAATTAACACATCAAATAGATTTATCAGGACTGTGTATATAGAATTTTTTTTACTATTTTGATGTCCGGCACAATATAAAGATTACCTTGCAGTAGAGCAGAATTCTATTGTTTACCAGCTCAGACGAGTAGGATGAATTAAGCCTTGTCTAAGTTTAATAGTGGTGCACTCTGCTAGGGCAAATAATTTAGTAAAGTCTAAGTAGGACGAGATCCACAGCATAAATATAAAAGTGATCCAACAAGGTAATATAATGAAGGTTACGCACAAATGTGCCTCTGTGCCTTCGTCTACATTTAAAGACTGGATGAAAGTGCAAAATGAAAATAAACAAGCAGGTGGCATGGAAAAAGGATTATAGTAGTGGAATAAGGAGAACTGTGCGGATCGTGACTTACTGACATCCGGGTCGACAGCATGTAACTTTCCAACCACAGAACCGACTGGCGTGTCTTCGGGTACTGGGTTAATATGCAAGTTTACAAACTGAGGAGGATTGTCATTCACGTCGAAGACTCTCACCCAAACCGTGAATACACAAAAGAGACCGCCTGAGTCACTTGCATTAACCATGAGGACGTGAGTCCAAGAAGAATTAGAGGAAGCTGGAAAGTTGGAATAAGGAGAGGGGAAGGGGAAAGGCAGCATTAGCAAGCTCGTATGTTACATAATTATTATACTTCTATGATGCATTTTAGATGGCTTATAATAGTTAATTAGAAACAAGATTGGTAGTAATTACAGCAAATCGATCAATATCGAGATCGAAACTATGACAATGACCTTAGGTGGAGATAAAAATGTGACTAAACAAAGTGTGCAAAAATGAGCAAAGCTCAAAGGGAAGTACTGTATCTGAAATGTGAATATAAAAAATGAGTATATAAAATTGTTTAAAGATAATCAGGACAAATTAAATGGCAAGAAGAAGTAAATAGATACTTGTAAAGAACTCATCCACGGTGAGATGTGTATATTCATGAATTAGCTAGGCACTAACGGGTTGGTGATTATCCGATTCCGAAAATAATACCAACTTGACAGGTTAATATGTCTACCAGGACTGATAATAAAGATGAAATTACTTATTATGTAGATGTGGGCTCATTAAGTTAATTAATTAATTATTTCGATTATGAAGAAAAGAATGTAATGTGAATAGGAATACGATATAGTAATAATGGAAAAAACAGCAGTCGTTGGAGCAAAGTAAAAAAATTAAATATAGAATTCTCGTCTCAAAAATAAATGAATTGTATCTGACAATCAA